AATAAATAAAAAAATAAAAGGAAGAGAGGTTGTACCCCTGTGAAGGTTCACAGCACAGATTTGTACTGCAGAAAGCAGTGACTTTTCATTTCTCTTAGCACTCACTGTGGTCTCAATGTGATTGTGTCAGCATAATTCATATTAGAGTGCATGTCATATTACCCAACAGCTACAAATGCCTCGTCTTAGGTGTCTCTCTGCTTAAGGAAAAGGCCAGCTTGAGGGAAGGAGGGCGGGTTAGGCATGACAGATCATAGAGACGGTGGGGGGTAACAGCTACACAAGATGCTATGTCGCTGTAGTGACAAGCTACGGTGATACAGCTCATAGCTACAGCGACGTAGCGTTGGTGGACGTGAACTGTGATGCCAACACTACTGTGCGGTAGCAATGAGCTACTTCACAGTAGCCCGTTGCTATTGTGCAGTAGGGTTGGAAACGACCCGTGCGGCACCGGGACTGTGCAGTAACGGCAGTACCAACTGCACAAGGATAAAACCCAGGGTTACCTTTTGAAAACATGAACCCTATCTTCATGGTTAATCTCACTACCAGTGTGTCAGCGAAGCCTGCTTTCCATCTTGTCCGAATAAACAGAACATAAAAAAACCTCCAGGCCCAAATGTGGAGGCTTGATCCCACAAGCATTAACTTGCTGCCTGTTGACCTAGATGGAACCGAGGCTGCTTGGCTCCTGGCTGTGAATGCTCGGCACCCTTCAAGATCTGGCCTGCTTTGCCAAAAATAACAATCAACACAAAGATTGCACATGCACACTCAGATTCCACTGAAATCAATGGCCACATACTCAATGTTGTGATATAGCACAGGATCGGGCCCATTGGACGTCGGTGGGAGCTTTGTCGGGGGGAGCGGGAGTCTGCAGTACTTGCTGACAAAATAATTTTCTAGGAGAAATGTTTTTGGGAAGTTGGAAATAGCGATGTCATTTTCCCAAGATGGAATTTTACCGAAGCATTGCTTACCGGGTCCGACACTGTGTAACTCCTCTTAATAACCCTGAACTGGGCTGTGCAATTTAACAGCTTCAGAGGAACCCAATGTTAATACATTGATTTTGCTTTAATAGAATTTTGTTGTCAATGGACAGTGCTCAGCACAGCGCACACTTCAATCTTAACCCATCTGAAGGCTCCGTTCATTTCCAGTTGAGCTCCGTTCATTTCCAGTTGAATAGGTTAAGCAAAGACAGACCTCACTGTTCTCAATTCACTTTATGATCCTCCCATCATAAAAAATAATATCAGCACCTTGCTTTTCATGTCAGAACTACATTTGAGCTGCTATTCCCTATGCCCATGAGTAAATCCCATAAAAGCCGCCCCGTTGTACTGTCGCTATTTTTCCTTGTGGATGATTGATTGATGGATGAGTGCTGACACTTCAATGAAGCTATTTCGACTGCCATCTCAATCCGATGATGTGAGGGGTATATTTTCTGTCCATGCCTCATTACTTCAGAATGACATTCCTGGAACTTCATTTACTTTTTCCCTCCTTCCCTCAAGCGCCATATTTTTTCCCATCTAGGTTATGCATGCCATAAAAAAAGCAATTTGCTATTATATGTGGCATAAGGGCAACACTTTCCCTAGGAGGTAAATAAGAAGGGTTTTTTTTTCCTCCACGCTGAGTTTAGGGATCATGTCAAAATTTCCCAAACAATTCCAATACAGGGCCCTCCTGCATTAGAAACAGGGAATAGAATAAATAGATTTAGTATCATGTTGTCAATGTTGAATTTTTATTTTATCCTTGACCATTGAAACAAAATAATTTAAAAAACCCTCAAACCTCTTTCTTATTTGAGAAAGATTCACTTCTCAATTTTGTGCCTAGCATGCTTTAAATATTTCATCTGTAACTGAGTAGCAGTTTACAACTTGATCCAGACTTATTTGTCCTTTGAGAATAGGGAAATTCATTTGTTAAATGCAGTGATGGATTTGTCTAT